GATGTTTCGTTCTTTAAATGAAAGACTATATTTTCAGAGTGAAAAAAGATGATACTTTTTGACATCTTTTTGATAACTTCGAAATCTTATGCTCGTAGAAATCCTGTATTTTATTGACAAAATACCGATTCAAGTACTTTTTTTAATACCCTTATAAAAAGGTAATCTTTTTTTCAGAAACGAAACAACTTTCTGAACGATCCGATACATATCCGATGTTTGCCAGTTTCTTTCACGTGCATCGTTGCATGTACGTGTTTCGTGTGATTGAAAGGTTGAGGACGGAACAACAATGGCTAATCTTTAAACGTCGAATGTGTCCGAACAATCGGCGTGATTACGAATTTCATTGTACGTCGGTATAAAGAGTTGGCGGGACATCGAAGCGAACGCGATATAATATTAGAGACGTTTTATCGATACGAATGGTGAAAGATCAGCCAGCTATCAGTCCCACAAGCTCGTCGGGATTCGGTACTTTTAGCTGAACGTGATCATGCCTACATTAGGCGTTACCTACAGCTCAAGTTGGAAATGCGCTGATTGGTTTCAGGGAGTTTAATAAACGATTGTACCCTCCTTTCGCCAGTGCTCATATTAGATTTATTCAGTCGCATACCTGTTAGACACATTTCAAAGGTTCCATTACTTCTGGATAATTTACTTTTCGAATTTTCATCTCAGTGATTTGATTTTTTCGCTATCGAGGGACCTTACTCAAGTGAGCCATAATGTAACAAACGAATTTCACTAAAGTATGTACTAAAGTATGTTTTACTAAAGTCTGTAAATTGCTTTATGGGTAAATTCTTATTTCTTTCTTATTTCTTCCTTGTCTTCTATTTTTTAAACGAATTGCTTCTCATTGGTCACTGTATTTTTTGTTAATAACTCGTAAACAAAGTCGTGGATCGCATCTGTGACAAGGAAAAAGTTCAGAAAAGCGTCATTGGCCAGAGTTTACCAACAAAATGCTATCATCTGCTTCAAACTACGAAGCAGCACATAAGCGATGTACCCTAACGGATCCACCAAAGACACGTTATCCAAGTTTCGGAGTTTCTCTTTTCCATTTTTAGCTTTATCCGGTCTACTTCAGGACCCTTCAACATCTGAATTTCATTTGAAGATCTCTCAGAGGATCAGACGTACACGGTATCCCTGTGGTCCCACCGGCTCTTCTAAATCCCTTTGTCCACGGTCGGCCTGATTCCTCAATTTTCTAGACGCGATTTTTGCTAATTGGCATGCCACCGTGCATCATTCGATCGCAATCCAAGCTGATTTAGAAAATACAGGCTGGGAATGTCATATTTCATGATTTCGTGTATGCAGAGAGAATTCCGCACATTCCTGCGAAATTCGATCAACATAAATGAAACAGGATGTCAACTATAACTCGGAAATGTTTGATTGCAAAGGTACTATAAAACAGGAACTATACCGTTATACGAAATACCGGTATTATTATTATTATATTATATTTATTATTATTATTATTATACCCGTATTTTTCTCTCGGTTGCACCTTCATAATCTTTATAGAAACCGAATTATGAATATGAAAGAAGACCGCGGAGGTGCCGCGATATCGACGAAGATAACCAGTTTAATGTGAAAAAAAAACAATATTTTTAGCTGAGCGGATCTACACATGTGGTGTCACACGTACGATTGAAATGTGAAAATATTAAATTACCATTTCACACATCGAATGATCGGCACGCGTATCCCAGCTCTCAAAACAAGAAAATCATATAATTAGTTAATGATAATCCCGCAAAGGGTACCGAGCTTAGCGTATAACCAAATTTCGATCAACGGAGACATATTACGTGTTGTAACATGTTCGATGCGTCAATATTTCATTTGGCATTGCTCACAGAATAGCGAATGGAACGAATATTAAACGACCTACATTTGTAATAAAACGCGCAATAAACGATATACGACGCCGCTCTTAATGAAAAAATAATACTGCGCATCTCCGACATAAAAAGAACGACTCGTGTACGTCTTCTCAGTGATGTATTCATAAGTTTCCGAGTGCGACCAATGATTCACAAACATTACCATTTAGCGACGTTATATTTCATTGCACAAGTTGTTTGTTTATTGTACGGTTTGTCTATTAATTAAGGAAATGTATAAAATAATGTTGGAGTAACGATAACGCAATTAACCCTCGTCCCTTCCTGGTGTCAATTTGACACTGTTTTCAAGTTCCAGAATATATTATTCTACTATTTTTAGGAAAATTGATCTGAGACATTATGACTTTTATTTTTTTACTATGCAGAATGTACATGTGTCTACTGTTATGAATGGAAAAACGTAAACGATGCTTATCAATGCGAAGTAACTATTGGAATTACTTTAGAACATACGAAATTAGAGATTTAAAACAAGATGGAAGAATATACATGTTTGCTAAGACTGCAGTTGTATCACAATTTTAAAGCGGCAAGGAAAAAGATTTTTTCTTCCTTATGCAGATGCATGTTTCGTATTTACCTAAGTATGATGGACGAGATTGTTTCAAATGTCATTTTACATCGTATATCTGAACCGTGTAATAATATCTACCACATATATTTTGAGACATTTAACGTGTTACAACCGCCACCATGTTACCACCGTCATTGGTCTCCCCTACGTCTCAACGCAAATATGCATAGTGCCCGCTGCGATATGTATAAAAAAAACAACAATTTATCCGGCTCGTGGTTTCATTCCGTGTGAAAAATGCGAAGGAAACATTGTGTAAATATGTTTTTCTATATCTTCGATAAATATTTAGTAAAATAAATTCTTCACCTCTTATTATATTGATTTTTTGCGATAGCATCAATTCGACACACGAGGGACACATTAAGTTGGAAAAATGAGGGCGGGATGGGGGTGAAACTCTCATTCGTGCAAGTGTCCGTTGCGAGCGTGACACGCGAGAACAGATTAAAGGGAATGTTTAACCAATTTTGAAGTCGAGCAAACAAAATTTATCGGATTCAGAAATTGCACGGTCTGCGAAAGGAAGCGGAGAAGTTATTTGCAACTTGTTGCAAAATGTGTACAATTATCGCAGAAGGCGAAGAATAAACGACTCCCTTAGGTTTCTGCTTGTGAAAAACGTACCATTTCGCGTGCTACATCAGACTCTTGTCTTACATCACGAGAAATTGCACGCAAAGCAGGTACTGAAATTAATTCTAGAAACGTTCGTCGCGTACCCCAGACATGTCAGAATATTATGCGACTAAAACTGAGGTAGAAACTTGCGTTGACGCACGGTTGGCGATCGAATTGTTAAATCTGGTTGCGCAGATTGGTGGATTTTATGTTGAAAGTCTTATTTTTGGAAAGTCTTGTTACACTGAATTCGAAACATCCTCTTACGAAGTATGTACCGATGCGGAATATAAACGATTTATTAAGCTGCATGGAATCAGAAATTAATAGTTACTGAACATCCTTAATTGAACCCTTGCACTTTAATAACCTTTTATTCTGCATCAACATTACTCTCATATTTTGATAGCAGAGGAAAGTAGCAAAAAATGCACAGCGACAATTGTCGCTCCGATTAATTGCAGATTTTGTTCAAAATTTTCTAACACATTATCCAGAGTAAGCTTGTTCTTCCAATATCTCGAAAGAAAAAATCCGATCTTTTGTTCTAGCTTTGAAAAAAATTATTCTGTTTTAAACTGTATATTGTTTTCTTTGGGGAGAGCGTAATTGAAACCAAGGGATCGCGAAGATACTATCTGTTCCATTTTTGAAAATGTGTCATCGCTTCGCCGACCCAATTTCGCGCGTGCCCATGGCAAACAGACGAACCCACGATAAACATGATCGTTCGCAACTCGGTATAAAGCGTCAACGCGATTCATAGAATTTCGCCTATTTTTCCTCCATCTTCGAGAATTCAACGGTATCAGACGCGTGTTATCTTCCCGGCCGGGAGCGTGCCTCGACGTGCCAACAGGATCTCTCGGCATTCGAGTGATCCGGGGTGTCGCTTCGAGGAAAAAAAAACGAAAAAGTTCATTCAATTTCGCAGGGCCGTGATCGATGTCATTCCACGGGCGGATCCAGGGAAATCCTTCCTCGTTACAGAGTAATGCACAGTTAACGTGGCTCCCGAGGGGTCGGATCGCATTCTAGATCAGAATAAAACATCCCAGCCCCTATCGTCCACACCTTGCTCCGGTATGAACGCACCCGCAAACGCGCGGGCAGGGTAGAGGCGGCAGGTAGAGGCTTGCCAGGCTTGCCAGGCAAGAGCGTAGGTGAGCTGAAATAGATCGATGGACGTGCTGCGCACGCAAGTACCTCCGGTTGTAACCCCTGCAGGGGGTAGGGAGAGAGCTCCATACTCCTGGGTAGGGTTATAAGGGAGCAAGGGGAAGAGCGTGGACTAGTGGGACAGGAAAAGGGACAAAGAAAAGGGAGGGACGCGAAGGAGTAGTGGAAAAAAGCATAACTCACCGCCGCCTAAAACGTTCCATTGCCGTCGAAAAAGCGTCGCATAGGGGGGACGCGTTCGATTTTCAAACCGGGAACGACGGGAAAAGCGAAGTCGGGGGATAATGAACGAACTGCCCATTTTTTCCACAGCGACGATTAAACGTGCGAAAAGGCGGGTGAAGGGGGAAACGAACGCGAGATAATAAGGGCAGCACTCGAGACGACGGGACGAACGAGATGGTTGCTTCGAAATCCGCGAGCTCTGTTTCGAAGGATACCGTAGGAAATACGCCGTACGGGGTAAATGCGACCCGTAAGGACGAGGCTCGCCTAGAATCTGGGGGTTGATACGCGTCAGGTTAGGAGGAGGGGGGAGGATCCCGAACCGAACCTCTGGAGTGGGAGGAGCGTGAGGCTAGAGAGGGTAGGAGGAAAGCTCCCGGCAGATAGAACGAGATAGAAAACGGACCAGCCGGGTTATTGGAGTAGGGTGACGGGGTGGGATGGAAAGAGACCGAGGAACGGAGACAGAGAAAGACGGGCACGCGACGGCATCTCACCTGTTTGCCAACCCGCCAGTCTAGTTTACGCGCCCGGTCATCCGCCGGCTCTACAAGTGGGTATTCCATTGCGACTCCTAGACGCGCTCGTTCTCCACGTTCGACTACCGATCGCCGTTTTCTTTCGGTCCACCGAGTACCGTGGTTATCGTACGTCCGACTCCGAGGTCCGACCATCGAATTTCGCTGGCCGCGAGGACGCTCCTGGTGGATCTCCACGGGTTTGCCTCCAGTCGAGACACGTATCACCAGCGACGGAAACGGTGAGTACCGAAGGTCGCCGTACTTTAGGCACCCTTAGCCACTCTGCCACTGTCGGAACCTGTGGATTGTGCTTTTCGTTGATAAAAGTTCAGATTATTTTGGAAATTTAACTCCGAGACGAGTATGGTCCTTCGCACGAGTTGTGGTGCAGTGGGAAGTCGGTACGACTTCTGAGGATTTCAGTGATTCGCGACGATTAGGCTGCGAAGTTTTGTGCAATTATGGCATGAGATAGTGGTCTGTTAGCATTTTTTCTATTTTTTTTTTTTAAACGAGGTGTCGTTTGGTTGACGAAGGAAGCATTTTTTTGTCCTAATTTTTTAGAGAATGTATGAAAATGAGAATTTGCACGAAGATTCACAGTCTAGCAATGATTGGTGCGAATTAGCGAAATATGGGAAAGCTTAGGTTAGGAGAAAGGTTGCCAGTATCACAAAATTCTACTATCGTCGTTTCTATATCGTTTATCGAATCTATGAAATTGAGGATTCGCAGAAGAATTCGTTATGCGATGATAACGTTGCTATTGGATTGTATATACAGTGTAACTTATATATTATAACCGAACGCCTATAGCTGCGTATAACAAGCAGTTTAGTCATCTTCTCTTTAAAGTATAAATAATGCTCGTTATTATCGATATTTGCACAAAAGATTGAATTTGCTGTGAATAATAGGTTTTCAATCTCGATAAGAAAACGATGAAACTTTGGATCGCCAATAACCGATTCGCATTTCAATGAAATGTTTTGAACTGCCATTGTTTTGAACGCAGGACAGAAGGATTAGCAATTCGCGACGATCGAAACTAGCGTGAATCGAATGTGTCTAGGATTTCGACGCATTGAGGTTCTGTCACTCGTGTTACCTGACAGAGCAATCGGTTTCTGCACCCCGTTCGATTAGATATTCGCATTTTATATTAAACTGTTCGGACAACGATTGGTTTTTATGGACGCTCGATCGGAGATTAGTATTCTCGTCCCATTTTAGACACAGCACGACAAGTGCACTTACATGCGTAACTCTCGACGAGTTGATCGTTTGCAGAACAACAACGCATCGTGGCACACGCACATTGTAATTACCTTTGGAAATTCTAAATGTCGGTGTATATCGTCGGCGTTTATAAATTGTACATTACAGTTGAAAAATATATCGATCCTTTGCAATCGTTGCAAACAAGGACAATTAAAGATGCTGCGATACCATGTTTCCGTGTAATTATTAGTTCATCGTCCAGATTTCATTGTGCATATTAAAATTAAACGAAGGAAGATACAAACATCCATTCGTTCGATACGTTTCCCTTAATTTCATTCCCGTAACTTGTGCGGCATTGAGATCGATGAAACGATTAATACTCTATTATAATATATTTTTTGTACCCTTACTTTGATCAGAACAATTGGTTACACTTTTTTTTTAAAGTAAACGCGTATTTCGATCTGTTTTAAAATGCAGAAGCCGAAGGCCCTATACATTTTATTCGCGTGAACGTGATTCGACCGCACGCATTTGTGCGGTCGTGAACGTGTTAGCTATCGGTGCAATACATATTTCAAGTATTTCAAATGCGCTGACATGTACGAGCGGTACTCTAAAGCATAAAAAGTAGAAGTGACATTTGAGAACAGAGGGGTGATAAATTTGAAAAATGAGAGAGCCACGAACGGTAATCGCGACTACAGGAACACAACAGCAAGTTCGAATCAAGATAAGGATAACAATTCTCGTGCGTCACAGAATATGAGTTCGTATAGTATATGACTGGCATTGAGATAGAAGATGTAACTGATTATGTAGAAGGCGCAACATGTAATTATAAAAAGAGAATAAATATTTAAAGTGCCGCATTGACACATTTCTGTTTACATAGCATTCGCTACCGTAGGCAAATCGAGAACGTTTCGTTACAAACGATTCTTCTGATATCTGCTTTGCTAACTTTTTTTCCATTGTACATGCTTTAACGCTCTTTTACGATCGCATCTTGTCTCACTGCACCGTGGACACGTTAGCATTCATCCGTAAAGACCGTGTCTATGCCGTGTTATACGAGCTCTTTTTCACTGGTTTTGCCACGTTACACGAATCAGCGTTAAACTACAGTATCAAGTTGTCTACGGTATACTTGTCTGCCCCTCGGTTCTGCTACAAAAATTGATAATTCGCGGATCTCTACGCAGAAATCAGATTTCGTCGATCATTATTAGGTTGGAAACTATGAAACGGGCGTTTTTGTTTAGTCTGTGTTCAGCTGCGACTGAGAGAGAGGTTCGTCGTAACGCGCGCTCGATATTTTTATTTATACATTTTGAAGGTATTCTTCTTAATCATTTCGTAAAATCTGTTCGCGTTTGTGTCCCATTTTTATTTTATTTTTCTCCGAAACCAGATGGAAACAAAAGGCGATTTAGCGCAGCTTCGAGAAACATTAATCACGCATTCGGAGATGGATCCGCTAATGAAAAAGAATGCTCGATTTGGCAGAAAATCGTAGATGCCAGTTATTTCGATTGAATATAATAAATAACGCGAAAAATTGCGCTTTTTGTTTTTGATTTTTATTCAACTTCCGTTTCATAGTTTCCAACCCAATACTTTATAAAATCCAAAACAAGAAAAAGTATGGACAATAGTGCAGCGTTGCCGATGCTCTCTCGCGTTGAAACAAAGAAGAAGCTTATTTAAAGAAAAAAGAAAATTAGGACTTCGCCTGCTAAGAATTTTCTGATACAGAAATTGAAAAAAATGTCATTTGCGTTTGTTTGTTTGCGCAAACGTCGTACGTACATAAACACCTGTACTCCAACAGTGACGCGAGATTAGGTAAAATGCTCGTATATTAGGTTTAGGATATGTGCGGGTCACCAGTGGCCACAGCCTTCTGCGGTTAGAGCATCCGATGAATTATCGTGGAAATTGCATTTTATCTCGGTCGTGTCGTCGTACTTGTTCGCATCCTTCCGTTTCTGGTAAATGTATTCCAAACGTGCGATTCCCCTTAGTATGAAATCATCATGCGTTGATGACGAGACTGATCTGCTCCGACATAATCTATCAAGGATTCTGGGAAAACTTTGCGTGTTCGTTATATTCAACTCTCCATAAAACTTATTAGAAAAGTGAGTAACAAAGACTGAGATGATATTAATTGTGGTGATAATTACTTCTTTTTTTTCAATTTTCTTGCTGATAATAAACTTTGGTATACTCGATCCGTCACCTTTAAGTTCGAACAAATAATAATAATAACTCGACTAGAAATCCGATCGACATTTTTTTGGACAAACGTGTATCTTTCGCAGAAAATTCATTTAAACAAATAACTTGTGTACACAAGCGTACACATTAATCATTTAACTATTGGTTTATCTTAATCGGGACTGTGTATCTGTTTTGTACGAATAATTTATAAATACGTAATACCAGCACATTCCCTGTCTAGATTCGTATGTTGCATTGGGGATAAAAGCGAAGAGCAGATTTTGTGTTTTCCCAAATGAAGAGGAGAGTAATCGACCGAAAGGGTATCGAAGGTAATCGCGTGCATGAAATTATTGCTTATAGGTCGATGAAAAAGTTTTCGCTGACGAACCCTGATTTTCAAGGTCGATGGTTGCAGATTTAGAATAGGGTCCCTCGATTATGAACGTGATCCGTTTAACGATGGGACGTGGTTTATTAAATGTAATCGGATGAGAAATTAAAGAGTAATGTTCCTCGTCGCCGTGATTGTTGTTTATTTTATTCGTGACATTATGCACGTGTTGTTGTCAATAGTTCAGTCGTTATGGTCAAGGATGACATGCTTGATGCTTAACGTTCTCTTGGAGAAGAAGCTGTTGAAACTCGAGTGGTGCTTGAAAATTGTGAAGTAGTTCCAGAATCAGAAAGATAGAACATTAAATATAAAAATTACATTCAAATTAATGGACGTCCACCAATAAATCACGTATCGTACACTTAGTGAATCGTACACTAGTGTTTTAAATACTGTTAATATTTCTAGTTATGTAAAAACAATAAGCACATATAACTTGCAATATATAGTCTTTTAGTATATTTTTATTTTTGAAATATATTTTTTAATAACTTCCAGTTGTCAATTTTGGTTCTTAACAAACATGGTTGACCCACTTCAGAAATGCTTGAAAATAGTGCGTCTATAAGTAAAACTAGGAACCATTAGTCATACAATTTATTCACATATAATTTTTTGAAGTGATTTTGTCCCAAAAATGTCTCGCAATTCGGAAATGGCGGGTTCCCCGGATCATTTGGAGCAGCTTCTTCCTTTGCAAAAATGTTCTCCGAGGCACCGTTAACGAGTTATTAACGAAAAACAGTGACCAATAAGAATCGAGTACGGCTGGCGCGAGGCGGCCCAGCCAACCAGCGCGTGAAGCCCAGTTCCGCTCATTGGCTCGGTCGTCTCTCGCCAGCCGAGCTCGCCTCTCATTGGTCACTGTTTTTCGTTGATGACTCGTTAGATGTGTATAAGAGACAGGGGAAAAGTTGCTTCGAATGACCCGAGGAACCCGCCACTTTCGGATTGCGAGACATTTTTGGGACACCCTGTACAGGGTTAAAGTTTTTTAAGCAAGGAGCACGCACGGCGAAAGAATCCCGATGAGAAAAGAATAAATCGTTGCTATCGAGCCCCGATTCATCAAACTAGCCGAACATAAACAGAAGTGGATATTAATAGATGCGGATCGACGCTAAAGGAAGGAAGGAGTAGGTACAAGCGATGACTTATTGTTGAACGGAACGAATAAATTTAACTGTCAGACTTTGATTCATCGCGAGCCAAACAGTTCCTGCGGGACTTCCGTATCGATGTAACTCCTTTTGCCAACAATTCTCGGCTTGTTGCGAATCTTTACGTTCGCCCTTTCTCGCGACGACGATATTTATTTTGCCCCGGAATACGGAAATGCTTTCAGGCTGATGCACTTTAAAACGAAAAATAAAATTCGAACTACCGATGTTC